AATTAATAATAATTGAAATTTCACAGGAACTAAAGTTGAAAAGACGCATCTGTGTCACTTGATAAGTTATACATGTAAACCACACAAATTCAAGAAATATAGATCATTTAAGTCAAGGTATCAGCTCATTTTCGCTTCGGACGGCGTGGTCGCAATAGCAGCAGTAGGTCGTGGCTGGTCGTGGCAAAGGAGGTGCCAATCGTCATCGCAAATTCTTCGAGGTAACCACCATCCGTCGTCTGGCTCGCCGTGGCAGTGTCTGACGTATCTCCGGTCTGATCTACGAGGTGTGCTGAAGGTGTTCGTGGAAAATGAGGTCCGTGATGCTGTCACCTACACTAAACACACCAAACGTAAGTGGCCAAGGATGTCCTCTTCAATAAAACGGCCCTTTTCAGGGCCATCAAGCTTACATTCAGTAAAGAGTTGGAATAGAATTTATCTGTGCTTGTTTGTCCATATTCAGAACCACAAGCCCCCAACGACCACACAAACTTGGAAGCAGGGGTGCAAGTGATTTTGATTGATTCTCGTAATCAACTTTCTTTTTGAAAAAGATTACTACAAATTTGGATCGCCTACAATTCAAAAACGGAAAGAGTTGAGATAATAGATTTGATCAATTAAAAGAACTTAATGCTCTTCACATTTATTCCGTCCACTAGCGGTCCTACGTCAAGCTTCCGTTCGTGCCCCTAGGCACAGACCCTTCTACTTTTTTATGGCTCGACTATCCGGAGGGCTCGATTATCCGGAGTGAAATTTTTTTCAAGACTCCGGATAATCGAGTCCGCCCTGTATTAACAAATAGTTGATGCAACATTTGTGAGGATATCATGGGGTCAGCTTTGAGTATCTCTGCTGATATGCGATCGACCCCCGGGGCTTTGTTGGACTTCATACTTCGGATGGCTGCTTCTATATCCTGCAATGATGGAGCTTCAGTGTTGACGCGAGTAACGCGCCTCACCCTTGGCGGATCATGCCGAGATGTTGATGGTTGGTTGACCGTTGAAACTTCGAGAAGTTGTTCAAAGTGCTCAAACCAACGTGGTCAACTGGTCAGTGGAGTCGGTGAGCAACTGTCCAGTCGCGTCTTTCACAGACATTCTTGGTTTCATCCTTGCCCCGCTCAGGCGTCGTGAAACATCATAGAGGAGGCGGATATCGCCAGTTGCTGCGGCTTTCTCCCCTCCATCAGCCAGGGAGTTCACCCACGCTCGCTTGTCCCGTATACAGGAACGCTTAAGTTAGAGATGAACTAGCCTAAGGCTAAAAATCTCTTAAATAAAGAATTAAAAAAAAAAAAAAAAAAAAGGAACGCTTAACTTCCCTCGCTAGAGCCGAATACCGCTGACGGGCCTCGTTCTTGGCTCCTCGGGTCCTTGCTCGCTCTATCGCGGCTTCTCTCCGCTCCTCGATCTTCCTCCAGGTTTCATCGGTGATCCACTTCTTCCTCTGAGTGCGCAGCTCACCCAGGTTGTTCTCGCTTGTTTCAAGAAACGCATTCTTCGTCCACTGTTCTTCTACGCTGTCACCTTCCGGAATATTAGCTGCGTGAGCCTCGAGTTCTTGGACGAACGATCTCTTCACTGCTGGGTCTTCCAGTCGGCGTGTGTTGAATCGCCGCCCGAGTCTCTCCTCCCGCCGTTGAACCCGCGCAATGCGTAGGCGGATCTCACCGACCAGGAGATGATGGTCAGACGCGATGTCAGTGCTGCGTTTCTTCCGAACATCAAGAAGGCTCCGTCTCCATTTTCGACTGATGTAGATGTGGTCGATTTGGATCCATCACGGGAGACCCATGTCACTTTATGCACTGGGCGATGGGGGAAGAGCGAACCCCCGATCACCATGTCATTGTTGCCACAAAACTCTGCAAGCAGCTCGCCGTTCTCGCTCATATCTCCGAGACCATGGCGTCCCTTAATGCGCTCATAGTCCGAGTTGTCGGAGCCGATCTTCGCATTGAAGTCACCTGTGTAGATCTTGATATCACCTCTTGGAGTCTTATCCACGACAGCATTCAGTTGACTGTAAAAGTTCTCTTTGTCCTGCAATTCGGCGCATAACATTGGATTATGGTAAGGTTTCGGACCCGTGTTCTGAATCTGGCAACGATTATTCTCACATTGATAGGTTCCCACTTGATTAATTGGGCGCTAAGCAGAAAGTCAACTCCACGATGTCGCGGAGCGTTTTCACCTCGCATACCAGAATATAAAAGTACCTGTCCCGAAGGCAGCTTGTGTTCTCCAAAGTTCGTCCTGCGGACTTCACGACAAATGAACAACGTCGACAACCTTCAAAATGCACTGCTTTGCTTGATTGGAACAACTTTTTTTTCAGTTTTGTGATGACAGTCGTTCACACTTTTACTAGAGTGCTATAGTGTCAGCTCGTGTTCAATATTGAGATCAATTAGCGTCAAACGGAGACCGGTCTCTGATTGGCTTAAATAAGTAAGTGTTGCAAGTAGTTTGTTGTAGTTATGGCCGTATTGCTAGAAGATCACACAAATCTCAACATTGGCATGGCAACGACATCGTGAAAATAAACACCGTTTTTCGAAATGACGGTTTGAGTGGACTGGTTGGTTTTGTGCCAAACGAACTGTCAAAGTCAGCCGTAGGAGAAAGAAAACATGATTCATCATATTTGCAAGCAACAGAAGATTTGACGCTATCTGCGTTGTTTGATTTTTGATGTTGGTTCACTCGCAACTATTTTTGAAAAAAAATTACGTGTTTTCGAACGAAAGTGTACCAAAAGTGCTTCTGAACGTGTTTCGCAATTGGGTGTGATGAAATTCGTGCATTCCCGGTTGATTTTGGAATTCCGTATCACAAAATTCCTTTTTTTTTGCCGTTCGACGACGACGGGTGTGCTTTCGCGAGATGAGTGACGTTTATTGGATCCGTTTCTTTGCACGGGTGTGTTTTTTTTTTGTAACTAGCGTAAGTGTGCCTGCGATTTGCATTGAGTGTCGGAGATGTGAGTAAGCTGAAGGATGTCTCGCTGGATACGCCCAATACTGGACGGGCGGTAGCTGGTGGTTCCTGGGGAAAGCACTAGATGCGACCCTCCTCCCAGATGACCATGGCAATACAGGAAGTATTACAACAAAGGTAATTGCTATTAGATATTTTGCAAACAGTAACAGATAGCGGACATGAAGAACCAGTGGAGGTGCCGGGCAAAGGTGTTTATCCTAGACAAATGGTAAGTTACAAATTCGCTGTTGTCGTTGTCGTAGTCGCTGTCGTAATCGCCGTCGTAGTTGTAGCATAGAGGTAACTCTAAGACCACTGGGTCCCGAAGAAAATCATTATTATTTTTGGCTCACTCAGTACCAGAACAACGGTCCCAAGCAGTCCCAAGCTATTTCACTCACCCCTGCATGTTCTGCATGAATCCACACACCCCTGATGTTATCTGTCAAACTTTCATAGCGAATCAAAACAAACATAGTGTAGTAATAGAATTTCAACTAGAATAGGGTACGTTAATCGTTTGCTTGGGACCAATAGGCTACTAAAGTGGTGAGCCAATTTAAAATCGTTAGTTTCGTATTGATTGTTGGTTGTAGGCAGTACCGTTAGTATATTTAAAATTAACCACCAACCACTGAAAATATGAATTATCGCGTATTTCTGTTGTTCATTACATGTCAAGTGAAATTCGAGATCGTAATTTCATTTGAATAGCTTGTTTAACCAGGTCTTAAACTATCGTCACGTCGGTCATAGCTTGTTATGATTACCTGAACCATGCGTAAAGAGAAAATCGAAACATTGAACGTCGCGTGAAAGTGGATCTTAATGAAGACCTAAGTACTCTTTCATAGCTTTTAGTTTTACGATTTCAAAGATCGTCGGTTGCAGTGGCTTGCTTACTGAGCAGAAAAACACGGTCCCATGTCCTTTCATATTAAACATGTATGGTAAAACTTTTCGGTGTCGTCGGTGCCGGGTTTGAATAGTTATAAAAACTTGAGTAACGCTATAATGTGATGTGAGGGGCTCGGTGGCCTTAGAGCAACCGGTTTTGCTTACTGAGCAGAACATCATGAGTCTAACCTCAAGCCCATCCACATTCAAGATTCGTCAATTGTTTTATTTGTTAACATGACTACATGGTTATAACAGCAACTCGATGATTAAAAAGGAGCTCGTCAGCCTAGTGGCAAACGTTTTTGCTTACTGAGCAGAAGACCGTGTGTTCAATCCCAAGCTCCTTCGCGTTATATGATGGTTAGGACATCAATTCAGCTTATCGTTTACCAAAACGAACCCTGCTGCAAACCCAACCCTATTTCCCAATATCCCAGTGATTCCTCGTGGAAGTGCAGAGGTGTTCTCGGCATCCATAAAAGCGAGTGTCACGTCAACACATTCCTATCCCTTCCTTTCTTGACCTGTGTTCGGGCGCGGCCGGCGCTTTTATTACCTAGTTTGAGATCACCAGTTTTTACACATTGAGGATGATTGCTAGTCTCAAGCAGCGTCTATTAGTTCTCTATGTAATTACAGCTGGTCTGGCAATAACAGAGTAGCAACCGTGGGCGGTCAATCATGCTCATGCTGATGCTCAAACGAACTGTCAAAGTCAGCCGTATTAAAATATGTATGGTTATTTTACTTAACACCATGTTCAGGGTATCAACCAATAGTTCTATCATTTGGGTGATCGTTCGGGTATGGTCTTTTCACAGACAAACAGACATAACACTCACAATAACATTCTTCGCAAATAAGGTTTCAGTTCGGAATGTGCTCGCATTTGTCATGATGGCGCCACTGAACCGTCAAGCAAATCAGCACATTTTGAACTTATCAGTGGATTCCAGTTCGGTTTCAGATCAATTTAGTAGATTTCAGCTCTTGAAATAAGGAGGCAACGCAACAAAGCACCTTTCATTGTTTCTTGGGAAGGTATCCCACATACTAATCTGACGAATACAGAAATAAATGTTATTTATGGTGATGATGATGGTCCCACCGCTTACTGTTTGTCTGTGCTCTTGTTATGGATTGTGATGTTGGTACCTGTAACTTGAAACGTCTTACTTTGAGCTCGTTGGAAGTTTAATTTGATCTATTCGTAATTAAGAATAATTTGAAGTATTCGAAACCGTATTACTGTTTCTTCATCATTTTCAAGATATTTTCTCGCACCATCCGTCTCAGCACCTTCCCCGACGGTGTCAGCGGAAGCTCTTCGGCAAAGTACACCCCTCCCCTCAGATGCTTATAGTCCGGCAACGATTCATTCGTGCGCCTAACAAGCTCAGCTGCATCGAGCCCGCCCGAACAATCCTCCCGCCGCACTACCAGCGCAGTTGCCAGATCGTTCGGTTCTCCGGGAATCCCCACAACACAGGCCGCTGCCACCCCCGGCATCTGCTGAATCACACATTCGATTTCGGTGGGGGAAATTGGAAAATTATTATACTTGAACATGTCCTTCTTCCGGTCCACTACATATAGGTATCCCTCCTCATCGAACCGTCCAATATCTCCGGTATGTAGCCATCCTTCACTGTTCAACATGTCCTTGGAAGCTTCCTCGTTTCCGTAGTACCCCCGGAACACATACTCCGCTCGCACCAGGATCTCTCCTTCCTGACCGACGTCCAACGCACTCCCTATATCATCAACGACCTTGAACTCCATCCCGGATCGAGGAAATCCAACCGATCCATCCCGGTAGAGCTCCCTCTTGCTGAACGTTACCGAATAAGCAATCTCCGTCAAACCGTAAGCAACCTCCATAAATCTTCCTGGAATCAGTTTTTCAAACGATCTCTTCAGCGATGTCGAAACTGCACTTCCTCCGCAAAACACTAAACGAATGCTGGTAAAGGCGGACGCTTTCGCTTGTCCACAGTGGATGATACCGTACGCTTGCGATGGCGTTATACAGAGGGCCGATACCTGGAACCTTCCGATTATGTCCAGTGCCACCTCCGGACGGTACGTTTGGCGAGTGATGATTCGAGTGGCTCCCCACACCGTACTGGCTAGTAGAATTAGAACACCAGAAAGCCAGTAGAGTGAACTAAAGGCGAACGTCCTATCACTGGGATGACACTCGAAGAAGTTGACCACATGGGCGATGCAGATCGAGTGCGATAGACTGACTGCTTTCGAACGACCGGTTGTTCCGGAGGAACACACAAGGATCGCAAGGTGCTTCTCGGGGTTTCCAATTGGAGCTGGCCTGTGGTAGAATGAAAAATCGTTGAATCGCGAATTCAAATTTGAATTTTGGTTGGTCTTACGTAAACAGTTCTTCTTGCCCGGTCACCTTCAGTAGACTTTCCACGTGATCATACCCAACCAGGTGATGTCCCATTAAAATTATTTTCGGGGACACATGTGCCAGATCACAAGCAGCTACCGTTTCTTCCAACGCCTCATTTTCGCAAAACACCACCTTCGGTCGCACTTTTTCCAGCATGTGACTCAAATCATCCCTCAGGAACGAAGGATCCAACGTATTCGCAGGAATTCCAAGAGCAAAACAAGCAAACAGTACCGGAGCCGTGTTTTCTCCGTTTCGAACGATCATGGTGAACATGTCCTCGTTTTGTCTCCCGACACCACCGTACCCCATCCGGATTAGATTCTGTGCGATCCGGATCGTCCAGAGACGCATCTCAGCGCCAGTCACTTCCACACCGCTATCGGCACTGATTTGCACCACCTTGTCGGCATTTCGTTCCAGAATCTGAAGAATCAGATCACCTATGCTCTGATGGGGGTTAAAGATCGGTTTCCGCCCCGGTAGACCAGTCCAAATCTTGGTCGACGGATCGTAGAAGGTGTATACGTTTTTCAATGGGTGCATGGTAGAAGAGATGCGAATGGATTGAGCATCGAGATGCAACTGCTGATGCATCTTGGAAAATAGTTTGTTCGTAGTTCGATGCAAGCTGTTCGCCAACCTCTGAGAATAACTGTTGTTTACAAGCCCTCCTTAATAGATTGCCTCTATTCAACTCGAAAAAGGGTCAGACCTGTTCTTATCTCATCGTGGATCGGTGGCATTACAAGTACAGTGTAACTTGGGATGAAACTGATGAACGTAGACGATCTTAATTTATAAGCATGGGCATGAAGTTGGATGCGACTGACATTCCATCATTATCATGTCACGTTCGTTTAAACCTGATTGCTGCCAATAATAGCGATAACCGTTGCAGCAGGGTGTGCTATGGCCTAGCATCGTTGGCGTAACTACGGGCGGGGTTAGGGGAGGTTTAGCCATCCTAGGAAATATGCTGAATCTTTTTTTTTTATGGTCCCACCGCTTACTCCTACAAAGCTTTGAGCTGGACGATTTATCTTTAAGATAATTAGGGTATAACATTTAACCAGATTAGCAAACAAAAACGAACTGGTTCCAGTTATAGATATAGGGTAGGATGGTGCAAAATGCACCCTTTAAGCAAAATCGTCAATGGCTGGCGAATGGAAGCTAAAATCAAGAAGAAAGTAATGTCGTTTGGTTCATTACCATGTTTTCTACATCCTATAGATCCTAAGATCGAGTGATTTAGAACTACAAAAGGATGATTTTCCATGACTTTCAAGGTATTTTTTAAATTGCTTCCAAAATGATAGCGGGGCAAAACGCCTGATTCATGATGCAATATGCACCACAACATTGGGACAAGACGCACGACAACAATGGCCAAAACGCACCACAACATTGGGGTAAAATGCACCCCATGGTAAACAAACCATAACCCCTGCAAGTAGATAATGCAAAGGGATGCGGTATTTCAAATGATTATTTCTTTATGCTACATCAGAAATAAGGTCTCAAAATCTCAATAGAATGTTAAACTGTGATACATCAAGTAAAATATCTGAAAAATATACGAAACGTAAATTTTTAAATTTTTTTTTGTGATACATGATGATAAAAGCTTAATTCAAGAGCAAATTTTCATTACGTCGAATGTAACAAAGGTAAACAAAGTCGAGCTATCAGTGTCAATCGATTCTCCTGCTATTACACTATATACTGTCCAAATATAGGATCAAATCCCATTTTTAAATTTATTTGCCAGCCAAATTGCTTTTTGACGTAATCACCTTCCGATCAAAATAGTTTTCTATGTTACTTAAGTCACCCAATTTCTATGGAGATGCCGTTTGACTTAAGTAACAGCGCTTAGAAACCCGTGAAAAGTGTACGTTCGTCGTTTCGCTTTCTCATTATTAAAGTGAATAAATCGAACTGTTTGTTGCTAAGATGATTTCGGTGGTCCTAAAATGATGAATGGGCTGCACGTAAGGAGACGTAATTGATAATTCTCCCGAATATCCTGGTAAATACACTTTGACTTAAGTAACAATAGGGGCCACCAAACGACGTATAATAACTTTTGACTCAAAAACCAGTATTTCTTAGCATGAAAGCTAGCGATTTGCCTTTGTATGATTAAAACCCGGCTGAATATGTTAAACATTGCTATCACTATGAGATTATATGTGTTTACTTGAAAATAGGAATAACTTTTCGGTCATCAAAACAAAACTTTATTTTTCTCGGATCGGTGCGAATGTTACTTACGACATAATGAAAATTTGCTCTTGAATTTACAGTCGATGATTTTAACAACTGTGTCCTGTTTTGCACAAAATGCAATTTTTTTAAGGAACCAGTAGGTCAATACATGATTTTATGATCAAGAATTATGTGTTACACCTCCAGTTGAAAACAATCACAAACCGTTACCCGGAAAAAGCATCTGAGGAAAAGTTATCGCTGTTTTTCTATAAGTGGGCATTGGGGTGCATTATGGGCTGTTCTCCCTTACATTCCCTCAGCACTTTGCAGTTGCTTCAAAGCGATATAAATGTGAATAAACTTTAAGGGATTCACCTCTTTGTTCACCTTTTTGACCACCTCAAATATTCACAAGCATTCCCAGCGATCAAGAGTTCATGCATTATCAACAAAGCATTCTAATACACTAGTAACCCCACATTGACGTAGCTAACGGGGGTGCTAAGGGGGCCAAGCCCCCTTCAGAATAATTCAGGGAATTACGTACAAGTTCAAGAAATTCCATGCGTGGAACTTCGCAGAAAACCAACGAGAAATGTAGAAGTGCAGCAAACTTTGTGGAAGTTTTGGGAATTGCGTAGCATTTCGAGAAGCTGCATAAAACTTCATATAAGTGCAGGGAATTTTGTAGAAGATCTAAAAATAGTTCATCAAACTGCTAAGATCTTCAGGGATCCTCGCTTCAGCTTAGGGAACTTCGTTGCAGTTTGTCAGAGCCCCTACTTAGAAAAAGCTCAATGAACTTCTTGGAAGTTTTAGGAACTTCGTTAAATTTCCAGAAGTCTTTCCAGAAGTAATCGTATTATTAAGACCCATGCAAAAATATGGAAGGAACTTCGTAGAAATTGAGGAAATTTTGTAAAACTGAAGGGAGTTTTGTAGAAGTTGAGGGAACGTTGCATATGATATCCTTTCAAACATCCTTCCTAGAATGCAGGAAATATTCATAAAATCTCCAGATAGACGAAGTAAAGGAGTAAAGTTCTTTGGATATTTTTTCATGACTTCTGGTTGATCAAGTTCTGAAGATCTCCAACTGTTAGAAAATACTTACTCATACATTCTTTCAAGATTGTGTGTTGATCAGAAAGCATTCATAAGTACTCTAGCTAATAGAAACGGATGGAATCTTGCATGATAAATCTAGAATATTAATGGACATGTTTGTACATTTTCTAAAGGGAAGACTGATGATTAAGCTATTTTGTCAAGAATTAACAAATGAGCAGCTGGCGTGTACGACTGTGTATGCCAAGCATATAGCATCGCCAATCATAGCAACCCTGTTGTGTACACACACAAAATGAAAGCTGATTTGCAGCAGCCATACCGAATACAGTCAAGCAACTACGCTCGATGGTTTCCCAACAAACAATTGAGAGCTCTTATAAAACACCTGAGTTGATCAAATGTTGAATAATAGCTTCCAGAGTTGAACAAGAATGTAGTTGTATTGCATTTTTGGTTAGAAGCTTCAAAAGCTGCTTGGAGCACTCTTAAATGATTGTTTACGTTTGGTTTAACTATATGCTTTATAAGACCTACGATAACTTTTATAGCACCTTTGTTAAACTGATTGACAAGAGCTATATAGAACGTGAAATAAACGCATCAAAACAATCCATTGGGAGCTCTTATAAAACACCTGAGTTGATCAAATGTTGAATAATAGCTTCCAGAGTTGAACAAGAATGTAGTTGTATTGCCATTTGATTAAAAGTTTTAAAAGCTGTTGGAGCACTCTTAAATGATCGTTTACGTTCGGTTTAACTATTTGCTTTATAAGACCTACGATAACTTTTATAGCACCTTAGTTAAACTGATTCACAAGAGCTATACAGAACGTGGAATAAACGCATCAAAACAAACAATTGGGAGCTCTTATAAAACACCTGAGTTGATCAAACGTTGAATAATAGCTTCCAGAGTTGAACAAGAATGTAGTTGTATTGCCATTTGGTTAAAAGCTTCAAAAGCTGCTTGGAGCACTCTTAAATGATTGTTTACGTTCGACCAACCACAATTTTGTTGCTAAAAATAGCACAAGTTATAGGCATGTTTATATAACCATAAGGCAATGATTATTCGACTGCAAGAGAAGTCACTCAAGATGAGCTTGATATACTTCTCTCATATGATCACAATATGTATTCAAGAATAGAGCAGATGGAAACAGAAGCGGCTGGCAATCCGGGATCATGAGTTCGAATCTTGCTTCGAGAAACCCTCGGTGGAGTAGAGGTAAATTATATATAGGTGTTATTAATAAATGCAAACATTAATTTAAAACATATATCATATAATCAACGATAACATTTCTAGATAAATTCTCTCAATTAATGATTAGAGAGATTAATTGAAAGAATATCAATCAAAGATTAAACAGATGCTTGTTACTACTTCCTCCATGATCACAGAATGTGAATTATGGCATAATTACATATTTTTTCAATGTGCACAAATAAATTAAATTAATAAAAACTGTACAAGCAATTATTTTGGCGTACCACCACAATTGTTAAACTAATTTTAATCTGTGAATATTTTGAGTACTTACACAACGGTTATTAAGGAGTCATTAAAAAGTGCTATAAACGCTTTTCACCGCTTGCTGTATAGTGATTATTTAGGAGTCATAAAAGAGTGTAACAAACGCCTCTCAGGTTCAATCTCTTATACATTTCGAAGCAGCAGTTAGGAGGTGTCTACAAACGTTGTATTAGAGCTTTCACCAAAACAATAAAGCTTGAGTTTAAATATGTATCCATAAACGTTGTATAAAAGTTGCTTCTATCCGGTTGTTAAGGAGTCATTGAAAAGTGCTATAAACGCTTTTCACCGCTTGCTGTTCAATTAATATTTAGGAGTCATAAAAGAGTGTAACAAACGCCTCTCAGGTTTCCTCTCTACTAAATTTCAAAGCAGCTGTCAGGAAGCGTCTACAAACGTTGTATAAGAGCTTTCACCAAAACAATAAAGCTTGACTTTAAATATGTATCTATAAACGTTGTATAAAAGTTGCTTCTATCCGGTTGTTAAGGAGTCATTGAAAAGTGCTATAAACGCTTTTCACCGCTTGCTGTACAATGATTATTTAGGAGTCATAAAAGAGTGCAACAAACGCCTCTCAGGTTTACTCTCTACTAAATTTCAAAGCAGCTGTCAAGAAGTGTCTACAAACGTTGTATAAGAGCTTTCACCAAAATAATAAAGCTTGAGTTTAATATGTATCTATAAACGTTGTATAAAAGTTGCTTCTACTCCTATACCGCGTATACATATAATGCTGTAGTTGAACAGGTTCTCCAAA